TGCCTTGGGGCCAGGGACACAGCCGCTGTGGGGTCGGATGGTGCCAAGGGAGCTCTGGGGTCGTTCCCCAAGCAGGAGGTGTTGCCTTACCCCCTGGGGCTGGGGCCCACCCTGGCCTGCTGGCATGGGCAGCCTGGGGACGGCAGAGGGGTGGAGGAGCCGGCAGCCCCCTGCACTGTGGGTTTGGTGAGAGGGCACAGCGTGGGACAGCAATCTGTCCTTGCCTCCCTCCCACCCTGTTTGGCCATCTCTAGGACGTGGGTCTGGCAGCTGCCTCCCTGCCAGGACCCCGCAGCACCCCGCTCCTGTCTCCCGCTGCCTGCCTTTGCTCCAGCACGCGGTGGGGAGGGGACGGCTCCTCTCCCCTCTGAAGAGATCTGCTCATGGGGGCTCTCAGCCTGCAGGGGCCCTGCAGCTCCCTGTGCCCAGCCCCTCCCTCATGCTGTGTATGGTTATTTTTTAAATACTGTTTTTATTTTAACATCTTTGTGATTGAATCATAGAAGAAAAAAAAAACAACTTTCAGGCTGTCCAATGACTGTAAATTATTTAAATACATTTGCCCTTGGAATAAAAATACTGTTTCTGTAGTTTGCTTCCTGCCCTCTCTGTGCTCAGCCAGAGGGAAGAGGGAGGGAGGTGGAGGAACACTGGCTGCCAACCAGGAGGAAAGCTGGGGAACCAGCACCCCCTCTGGGTTTAGGCTGAGCTGGGGTTGAACCCTGGCAGGGCCGTGAGGACGGTGGTGGGGGATCAATGGCTCTGGACTGAGGCACAGCTGTGCCAGACGTGCTCTTTGGTTCCCAGTGGTAGTACAGGGCTTTCCCCCCTTCTGCAGGGACATGAGGTCCTGTGGGGCTCTTTGGGTGGCCAAAGCTCTGGCCGCAGCCTGTGGCGTGAGGCTGCGCAGGTCAGAGGGTGCCCTGGGAAGGAGCTCGTGGTGCTGCCCTCCCCTCCCCACTGCGCACTTGGAGATGGCTTTTCTTCCCTCCCCAACACGGTGTGGCAGAGCCCACTGCCAGACAAGCCAAAACCGCAGAGCAGACAAGCTGGTCCAAGACCACCCCGGCGACCCGAGGCAGCACCTTCCCTTTATTTTAGACCCGTGCGTCCTCCAGCGATGTGAGACGAGGGTGCTGTCTGCACAGCTCCAGCAGTCTGCACAGCCTGGTTCAGGCTCATGGTGCTCCTACCCCTTCGGTGCCACAGTTCCTTCACCTCAGCACCCTCAGCTTGAAGGTGGAGGAGGAACCGGGGTATGACACCCCCTGGGAGCCACCTGCCCTTGAAAACAGGGCTGGGGGGGCGATTGCGTGCAGGTGATGAGGGCCTCTCTACCTCTGCCTTCAGCATGCAGGGGCTGGCCTGGCTGTCCCAGGAGCCGAGCGTGAGAGGCAGCTGTCAGCCCTGGACCCTGCTTTGTCCCAGGGGAGCTGCTGCAAGCCAGGCACCCCGGGCTGCCCCCTGCCTGCAGCGGGGTGGGGAGGGCTGGCAGAGCTGGGCTTGGCCCAGGAGAACCATCCCAGTAAATGTCTTCAGGGCACAGGGAAGGGGAGCAGCTGCCCCAGCCCCCCTGCTCTGCTCTGGAGGAGTTGCAGGGTGCTCCTGCCTCCAGGTGAGGGACTCAGGCAGGGATCCAGCACCGCAGTGAACACGCAGTCTATTTGGGAGCAGGCCCCGAGCTCTGTCCTCCGCTCAGGCTTCCAAGGAACGGGGTGAGACAGCAGAGTCCAGATGGCATGGAGGAGGTGGGAATGGGAGATGGAGCTGGTGGGGAGAAACAGTCCTGGCCCCCACGCTGATTTCCCTTCCCCCCCCCCATCAATTCCGCTTCGTGTCTTTGTTCTTGTTCTGAAACTTCTGGTGGACCACGCGAAGGGTGGTGAAGAAGTTCCCCAGGAAGAGGATGAAGAAGGGGAGGCCGCACATGAGGACCTGCAGGAGCCACAGAGGCATGAATCAGCAGGAGGGACCTGCCTGGGACACCCCCCTCTCCCCAGAGCAGCTGCCTGGGACCCCCCTTACCTGCCACTCCTTGCATTCTGGGTGCTGGATCATGCGGAAGAGGGTGATAGCGTTGTAGAGCTGCCAGAACTGCAGGATAGAGGACATTTAGGGGAATTTCTGCTTTCAGAGGCTCAACCCCATGCTGACGCTCATCCAGCTGCTCCCTCCAGGCACAAACCCCACGCAGACCTCGTGCAAGGCCAGCCTGCCCCAGCACGGAGTGAAACCCCCTCCAGGCTTGGGGCCAGAGGACCCCAGCTGGGCCATCTCCCCCTTTCTTGCCACCTCCTGGAGCCCAGCAGCCAGGAGAAAACCTCAGACCAGCCTCCTGCTTTTGGCCATCAGCTGAAATGAGCTGACCAGGGAAGAACCGGACCTTTGGCAGCAGCAGCTCAGGAGCTGAAGCTCAGGAAGGGGTTTGGAAAGGTTCTCAGGGCCAGCACCTCGGCTGTACTTTGCACATCACTTGAGCACTCGGCAGGACTACCAGCAGCCCCCCAGGTCCTCCCCATCTCACTAGCCAAATCGCGGAGGTGGGTGCTTTGGAGGAAGAGGCTCAGCATTTGTTCAAAGCATTTCCCTGCCCCTGGTCTCCGTACTGCGTGGCTGCAGCAGCCTGCAGGGACCTGGGTGATGTCCAGGCTGCCCAGCGCAGCCGGGAGTACAGCATGATCTACTCCCACCTGAGGCTCCAGCCTCTTACTCCATTGGTGCCCACTCACCTGCCCAAAGAAGAGGAAGGGAAGCAGGAACGTGAGGCCTCTCCACATCCAGGACTGGAAGCCCTCTGCAAAGGATGAAGGTTTGTGTGGGGACCAGAGAACATGCCTGCTGGGGGAGCAGATGGAGCCCAGCTCCCAAGGTCAGGGTCATGGGGGTTCAGTGACCATCCCATGCCGGGTCAAGGGGGTCCTGCCAGGCTAACACAGCCTTGCTGCAGGCGCTTGTACTCGCTGGGAGGACTGCGGCAGGGACTCCTAGCCCTAGGCTAACGTGGGCCTCTCCAGAGGAGAGAGCTGCCCTCGCCCGCAGCCGCTGTCCCTCAGGCCGAGCCCTTGGTGGGGCAGGGGGTGGGGGGGG